AAAAGTTATAGGATACACTCTGGAAGTGGAATATCTCGTCACATTGGCAATCGAAGGGCGCTGCTGCTGGGGGCGGAGCACAGACCGTGGCGGGGCTCAGAAAGGAATGGCAAGCCTTGTACGCTGCAACTAGCGCACCTTTGACCACAAAAACGCAACATTTCGTTTCCTTGGGCCCCTGACTACTGCTTCCAATGGTGCATGTACTTCCACGCTGCATACGCACTTTATCGTAATCTCTCGCTTTAACGGGCATGATGAAATGGAGGGAGTCCACTGGAATCCTCTGCGATCGAAGGTGCTCCAGAAACTCAAAGGAAAGGTGTACCGGACAGTGGTAAGGCCTGCGATGCTATACGGCAGCGAGTGCTGGCCCCTGAACAAGAACCACGAAAGGCAGCTTCACTCCGTGGAAATGAGGATGCTGAGATGGGCATTTGGCAGGACGCAATTGACAGAGTGGATGGGCGTTAGAGTACTCACGCGGATATCCCTGCTTTACTAAAGTTGTAGGAACAACGCTTGCTGTGATAGAGGGCATAAGATTACCCGGCGAAGCCAAGAACTTCAAGCGCCAGGCGAGTAACCGCGAGGAGCCCCATGGAAGAGTAGGAGGAACGTAATCAGGAAGCAAAGTTTCGGTGACTGATAAGGAGAGCGGGCCCTGTACATGTGCAATACTAACGCTAGGGAAAAAAAGACCAGGAATTTAAGCGCAGCCCAAAGGGTGTTTGTTAATTACAGTCTACTCGTACGACCTGTGATAGGAGATCGACACAATTCAGCGATCACAAGTAATGCTGTTATTTCATTGCGCCGCAAGAAGAGCTGAACGAGCCTGTAATCATTTTTAAACACTTACTTTGCACTTATCACTACAGAACGGAATACAGCAGCATAACCAACACCTGAAATTCGAGTAATATTATAATGTAGATGCAGACGGTTGAGAATATAAGGTACAAGAAAAGGGGCGGTCACTGTTCCGGCAAAAGACGCGAAAAATCATGCGAATTGATCAGCTTGGACTCAATGCCCTCTTTCTGGCCTTTTAGACAAACTCCAAACTAACCCGAGCAGTACCATAAGGAGACACAGCAGCCAAGTAAGTAGACCAGCTTTAGGTTCAGTTTTTGTTACGATCTATAAAAATAGGAGTTATTAGAAGGAGATCCTGGATGAGCTCCAAGCAAACATTGTCGCAATAATTTATAGAGCCAAGCGAACATAATAGTATTAGGTTGGAAGGAAAGTTCCTTAACACTCAATTCGCGCTCTTTCTGGATTTCTCCCGAATGCTCTGGAATCTTCCATGGGTGGTATATAGTAGGAGCGGACTGTGCTGCGTACGGTTCCATCGCACTAAATCAACTTTTCCCGCGAGACACTCCGAGCGCTCATCTTGTGCGTACCTCGCCTGGAGACATCAGCTCACGAGAGGTGCTCAGAATCTGTCCAGTGATAGAATGGGGCGTGATCTCTCAAGTGGCGCCTTCATTACGGCTTGAACGCTACGCAGCGGAAACTTTGATCCCTCTGACGCAACGTACGACTACTGTCCATCAAGACGTCGTCGGCGCTGTAATCGAGGATGATTCAAGACAGTCGTCACACTGTATGGTAGTGCGTCTTGAGTGCTCTCACCGCACGTTCTTTAGGCTCTTCAGGAATTAGACAAGTCTTGGAAATGTGGTCGATGGGTACCGCACGATTTCACCGGGTGGACATCTGCACATGTACTTCTCGTCGCACAGTAGCAACGATAGGCCGCGGCATGTGGCCATTGGCGAAGACAAATGGACCGTCTGCTTTAACCATATGCGAAAGCAGCAGCGGTTTGGAATATGGGAAAGTGGAGTTTCAATGCCTTGACCTGACAACTATGGGGAATGGTGATGTTGTCAAACTTTTGGAATTTTGACGGTATTTCCCATGGGTGATGTTCTGTCTGCAGGATTGACGATGACAAGGGCTACCCGCTGCTAGCTGCTCGAACGATTGCAGAAAGCTTCGCGGAATACAGCGACAAGTCAATCCTGCTTCACGACAACGCGCAACGGCGCGGGTCTTCGGTCTCAAGCCACAAGATTCTCAAGCTATGGCTGGACCGCGGTTGCCCGTCTGCCATATTCGTCAAACCTATCCATACACGTCTTCAACCTTTCCTGCTCGCTTGCTCATTACCTGGAGAACAGAAAGCTCGACGACGAGAAGGACTGCAAATCCGACTTCAAAAGATTGTTTGACAAAAATTCTCCTAATTTCTACAAATGTGGTGTCAGCCAATTGCCCGAAGGTTGGCGTAGTATTGCTAAGTCTGATGGTCAATATGTTCCGGGTCTTAGAACAAAGGATAAAAAATAAATTTTAAATTTGGCTGTGGGGTGTTTCAGAACTTTCTTTCCAACCTAGTATAATAGCTTCCCAAATCGAGTGCAAGAAGTACCTGCTGATGACAGTGCGGACAGATCATTGGAGCGGGGTTCTGATTAAAAACGGGCGAGCCGATGATTGTTTGAAGTGGAGGAATCGGATTGGGATCAGTTTCTTGATTTTCTTCTGAACCGATGGTTGTTTGAATTGGACGAATCGGAGTGGGATCAGTGTCTTGAGTTTCTCTTGAATCGATGATTGTTTGAATGGGACGAATTGGAGTGGGATCAGCGTCTTCAGCTTCTTCTGAACAGTACAGTTAGTCAGTCTCGCGGTAAAACTATGTCGAGCTTTGACAAGAATTGCAGAATCTCGGATACACTGCAACGAACAATACTTCGACTTGGAATGAACAATATAAAATACAACAAAATTTTTAGACTTCCTTGAAACTCGAGAGAATCTCAGCTGCTGTCACAACTTTTATCACAAAGGCCACCTTTGCGAGAAATCTATTCTCAGTATTCCTGCTGGGCTGGGGCTCCCCACTTCATTAGCGATCCACCAACAATTTTTCGGCAAATGTATTCCATAGAGTTCTTTAACATGCATGTTTTCAGGTGAAGAGAACCGTCTGGACCACGAGATTGGACCCTCGCCAAAAAATGTTTGAAAGGAATAAAATGTTTATGATTATGCTGGCACAGCCTGGGTGCAAGTGATATTATCTGATGTATTTTTTTAGCCCATGCACTATTTCTTCCTTCGTTATGTTCTAGGCTGTCTAGAAGCCGTTTTGGTTACATTCGTGCTGAGATTTTCCGACTTCCTAGCCCCAGTTTTC